AACTTCCGTACAGAACAAGTGATTTCACTATATGTACAAGGGATTTGACAAAAATAAGAAAAACTTGTAGTGTGAAGCGTTAGGAATTCTGGACATGGTCAAAGGGGTAAAAGTGGGTGATGTGGGTGGAGTGGGTTGATTATGTCACATTTTATCCACTTTTTGCTCACGTCTTCGTCTATCAAAGTCGGTGTTTAGCTATGTGCATTCTCTAAGTGGGAATGGTCTAGTCTACTTGCATGTTTTGTGCCGTATGGATTATTTCAGCTGAGGCATTTAACAAAAAAGTTCCTCGATAGTCTTTAGTGGTAACTCTGGATTATAGCTACCCAAACAAATGCCTCCCATTTGGTTACTATAGTTTAGGTTTACCTGTCCTGTTTTTCAAGTCACTTTTGTGTTACTGTTAACTAAGCCAAATGCTGGAAAGTTCCACTATATTTTCAAAAAAAAAACTAACCACGGAAATGGCCTGAAGTGATTTTTAATTTCCACAAAGGCTAACTTGTTTTCCACTGTATGGTGTTTTCACCAGTGAGTTTGAAAGACATTACGTAAAGATAGACAATTAAGTGAATAGAGATTGGGTGTCACTGCATAAACCGCTTCTTATTTTGTGATAGCTGTGTGTATTACTAGATATCATATGTCTTTTGACTTAACAAGTCTGAAAATAGCAAATAGTATAGAAGCTTTTGCAAGGTTTCAAGATGACAAGGCAACAAGACAGCAGTGATGGTGGTCTTTGAAAATTTGGTAAAAGTTTGGGAAGGTTCATAGGAATTTCAAGGTAAAAATCTGTTTTTATGAAAAGAGAACTACAGGTTTTGATTAGTCAGGTATTGTTTTCAGACATTTAATCAACTGAGTTCAAAAGCTTTTCGTCATGCAGTACTACGTCGATATGTGCTATGTGAAATAAGCAAAATAACATACAATTTCAAATCACTATCGTTTCAGTCGCTGTATTCCTGATGTCGAATTTTATAGCTTCACTGATCCTGCAACCTCAGCTGATCTATAATTGCCTCAGAATGAATAATGAGGACTCATACACTTGCTTAAATGGCCTTTTCTTTCATCTTTCGTAATATGTGAAATGTGTGATTGACAAAGGGATATAGATTTTGCCTTAAATAGTCAAAGAAACAATTATCGCTAGTACCACATCAGAGAAAGGTGGGTCAGAGGTGCACCTATACAGCCGAAAAATGGAATGATGGGAGAAATATTGGCTTCCACCTGATCTGACATCTAGGATCTCTTTGTTTGTTATTTCACTTTTAATCGACATCCTAGTGTGATAAAGGAAAATTCCAGAGTTTGACATGAATACATTAGTGCAGTTCACGAGACTACCTTCTGCCGTATATAAAGACACTTAACTAGAACTTCTTGTTAAAGTGATTCAGCTTTCAGCTGGGGTATTACAGTCACCAGGAATGACTCTGAGTGAGCACAGTTATCAACTGTATCAGTTTCTAAAAACGTAGCAGAATCTAACTGCGACGACCAGATAAGAATTAGCTTAACCAAAACATAACCCAGAACTGCAGTTTCTCCAGGTATGAAATGCCTAAATTAGGCTTTCATATGAAGAATTGGTAAGAACTAGTCAAGTTTTTTTAAACTGATAACCATATTTGCTATATAGCAAAAATATTCATTCAGACATCTATAAAACACAAAATAGTTGAGCAAAGAATATCCTTTTCGATAAATTCCTCCTCTGACTCTACAATTATATGTATGTTTATATACGTAGAATATTCTACATTAGTAGTCAATAACAATATTAGTGTTTTTTTAAATAATATAGATTTGTAAAGTAAGATCAATGGAATCACAGTTCCTTAAAGATGCTTAAACTATAATTATAATAAAAGTATATTAGCAAATAGAATATCAACCAAAACTAGGAAAATTCCACAAAAATTCAGGATCATTCAAACCTAAATGACCAAGGTAATGATAATGACTGAGCTAACTTCTTTTGAGTGTTGGTTTGTAGGGATTTGATTGGTTTGCAGGATTTCATCATGAGCTGACATTATCAATGAATATCAATGAGATACTCACTGGCGACTTGCCCTATTCAGGTAGTTACCAGGGGTTCTAGTGGGAAGTAGTGACCAGTAGGATATTGCTGGTTGGGTGTGAAGACAAAAACTCGCCGAAGACATTGGCTAGGGGTCGCGCTATGTCGTGAGTTGGCAGAAGTTAGAATTCATGGGCCATTGGATCGGATCCCAGTGGCTTAATGGTATACGAGCTCGCCTTGTAACCAGAAGGTCCTGGGTTCGAATCCCGGTGGGTCCGTACTTCTGAAGAGCCCCAAACTAGGACGAAACAGATGCCTCCCAGATTTTCCAATGGTTCTTTGTCTAATGTCAGCTGACGATGAAATCCTGCCAACTTCTTTTGGATGAATAAATTAGGCTTGTTAATATGGATCCCACAGCCTCAGCAATATTTAGTAGTCGAACTCTTAAGGCAAAATTGAGATTCGTAGGTATGCAGCAGATGACCTTGAAAGCATGGTTATCGTCAGTCTTGTGTTCTATATCCACAAGATGAGGTAGAATAGCGCTGTGAATAGATTTTGTTTTTCCTTTGCTTAACCACGCAGAGTGATGTTCGAAAATTGGACGAGAAACACGTCTAATTGTATGGCCTATGTAACTTGCTCCACAGGAGCAGTTAAATTGGTAGATACACATGGAAGAGGCAAAATTAGGCAGTTTGTCTTTTACTCCTGAACGCAAATGAGGAGTGGTTTTTTAGATACAGCGTAATTCAGCAGCATGGAATGCTCTTTTTACCGCATTTCTAAGGCGCTGTGTTAGTATCTCGCTGGTACTGTCCCCAAGGAACTGCATTTGTAAGAATAAGGCCTTTTTATAGCTGTTGGCAACTTGGGCTGCCTTGATTTTAGATTCATATTCGTATCAATAATTTACTCTGGATAACCATTTTCACTCAGCAACCATTTAATATTATTAAGTACCTCATCAAGACATTCATCCAAGCAGATTGTTCTTACTCTGTGAACCGAGCACTCCACCAGATTGCGTTTGTATTTCGAGGGCACGAAGTTGAGAAAATGAGTATACTGGCCCGTAGATGTAGGTTTTCTATATACACTTCTTATTGTGCCACCCTCTTTTCTGGTCATAAGGAAGTCTAAAAATGAAATACTAGAGTCCTTTTCTTTCTCCGTAGTAAAATTTATTGCAGGATGAACCTCGTTAAATTTATCCAGGATGCTCTTTGCTTCCTTCTCATTTGCATCATCCATGTACCGACAACAGAATTCGAGTTCATCAATAACATCTTTCAAGGGCCCATTTTCCAGTTTCGCAAGGAAAATATCGGCTAGAATGGGTCCTAGCTGTGACTCCATTGCCACACTGTCGATTTGTCTGTGTAGTTCCTTAGTAAATAAAAATGCCATGTATTCACTGCCCCACTCCATTTTTCGAAACATCAAAATTAATGTTTTAACTAAGGGTTATTGTTTTTCTTGATCTGCAGTCACCACTTAACGCTTGTAAGTGAAAGGTCTTGCATCACTGCCTTCTGCCGAACTCGACACTTTTGAGCACACTTACCTAACCACTGTTTTATACTGAGATGCCACGATGGCAGTCCATAAGGTCACTAGAGGTTAGTCTGAGCCATATAAGGAATGTAGCTGGTAATCGTATTTTAAACGGGACAACCGAAGTATTTTACTTTGATTCTTTTGTCATAGCATGAGATGAAGTGTTTGTGGAAAAAGTAGACTCATGGTAAACTGGTGTAAGCCGATATCACTCCAATAGCATTAAAGCAGTCACATCTTTTTTGATAAGTAAAAAGTTAGTGTTTTCTTGTGTTTAGCTTGTAATTTTCAGCATTATACCCAATTGTCCTATTTCAGCAATTTATTATTTTTATTAGAGTTTTCACTCTTGCTGATTGCCTAGTATTCACTTCTTTTCCTCTGTGTTTGTGTAAACAGAAGAACCTTGAAGCGAAATAACTGTTTGTTAAGTTTTTTTTGTCATTTATGAATGTGTAACTGACTGAAAGAAAATTATGAATTCTGATCATATAAGTGCTAGTCCGTAGTATCCTATCGACCAATTATAATCACAATACAGTTGCGTTTTGAGTTACCTAGAATGTTTGTAACAACATTAGCTAGAAGACATATGTGCTAATAGACAGTGTTCATCGTTAATATTTTCCGTGAATGAATATAAGGCGAAATATTTGCTAAATAGTCTCTATCTTGTGTTAGCCATTATACAAAGCTTAACTTTTAGCTAATTCTGTCTCACTTTAGTTCATGTATTTGAGAAGTGATTTGGAATTATAATTCCTATAATTTTTGTGACCCAAAAGATCATCGTCTTATTTATATACACTAGTATTAATTGAGAATGATGCCGAAATGACTTTCCATCCTATACGGATAATCGGATAAATAGTTGTTACACTTTAGGAAATAATCCTCTACTTTTTTCTACAGATATATATATATATATATATATATATCTGTCATCCACCATACTAACTAATCTTATGAAAAACTGCACTTAGAAACGGTTTCGTTCACCCTAACCACGCACAGTTATCTTTGAAACAGTCTAGAAGGTATTCTCTAGTAAGTGACAATGAAATTTAATGTCTAACCGATGGGAGTCAACATTCTTATAACCTAATGGGTCCTGGATATCCACTGGTGAAAAATCAAGAAATAGGCCGGAATAACAGTCCTGTGTTTGTTGTCCACACCTTTCCACAGGCCAATGTGGAAATCCTCATACTATGAAGGAAATTAAATACAACTGAACTTTTTCAGATCACCGTGTAAGCAAACGTGTTTATTTCTCACTGATGTGTCCTACTTCATTTTTCTTTTAACTTTTATTATTTTTAGCGATTTCTTCCGCATTATGAGTTAGACTATTATTAGTAAAAAAATAATACAAGAACAATAAGATTTCATTGAAATGTTCGAGCCATGTTTTAATACTTCAGGAGGAATTTCCAGTCCACAAAATAATGTACAACAGATTCCTCCAATTTTATTTCGTAAACGTACTGAAAAAATTGATTGGAGACGATTAGGTCAGTTTTGTTTTATTTGGACATTTAAATGTATATACTTATAATAATAAGCGTTATAACTGATAGTAAAAAAGCTTACATGTTAATATGTAGATGTCTACCGGTAGCTAGTCAGAATCTAAGAATGTATACAGTTATACATGTTTTTAACACTTAATTCACTACAAACTAATCCTTGGATCTTATCGCCTAAACATGACAACAAATTATTTCATTCACGAACGATTATTTCCATTATCTTTATTCTATGAAATCAAATGTTGATATCATTCCAAAATATCCGGTCAGACGATGACTCATCAGGCAGTAGAGTTCATTATTGTAACCCTCTCGTATTTTGCTTCATTTCTGCTTCCTTATTTTCTTAACAGCATCAATCGATGTAAATCGTATCGCTAGTCATGTGGATATTGAAAGCCTACAAGAAATGTTGACATCTGTTACATTCTGTGATATAACTAGTGAAATTGTAAGTTCTTTACATGAACTATTATTTATAAAAATAATAAATAAAATTTTCCAAAGTATATTCAAAATACACTGACAGAAGGGATTATTTAGTGGTGGCCCTAGGAAATTTGTGGATCAAGCGGATTTGTTCTGTTTCGTACTAGACTAACATGAGAAAATAAACTAGTAGAATCTAGGGACAGAATAGTTATATTTGGTCAAGAATAAAGACGAACGGAGGAAAAGAGATAGGGTGGTAAGTACAAAGCATAGTGAGTCAAATAAGATTAGATATGTAGTTATCCGTAATAATGCAGCATATAACCTCCAACCACTGAATTCTCTTATTTGAGTTGTTTCGAACCTCTAATTGAACCCGAATAAAAAGAGACCAGTCGAACTTTCGAGGCGGACACAATGATCAAATAAAACAGCAAATAAATTCTTGTAGGCAGTAATTGAGCCAGCTGATTGGGATAGTAGATAATTGAGTGCAATAGAGACGTACCTCTGAGGCTCTATGTTCCACTCGGAAAGCAAAAGATGAGTAATAATAATATACATTCCCCAGATAATGTTACAAAGTAAACTGAATACAGTGAATTCTAATAAGAGGGACGGGTGCATCACTAATGTGCTAATAATGACTTTTAAAACGACACTTCGGTGATTCACCAAACAAATCTCTAAACCAGAGGAAATCTCAGCCTAATCTATCTACTAGCTGCACATAAAAAACAGTAGATCCAGCACATTTTGCTGTATTACTGTTAACTACCTATAAATGAATTCAGTTACTATTACACCCTGACCTAGTAAATGAATGGCAATTTATTGAAAGTTCTGTTACCAAGCAGCGTCGGAGTTCTACACTATAAAAGAGTTCTAAACTGAAGTGGAAAAAAACAACCTTATATTTCTCTTCCCCAAATGACTTTCTATTCGATTTCTTTAGATCCCATAAACTAGCCTGAGATTTGAAAACAGTTGAGAACCTATTTCAAATATTTCTATAAGTGAAATAACACTTTGAGAAAAAGGCAGATCCAAAAGTGGGAAGTTAGAGTTATTCTACAATAAAAAGTGTTTTATAAGATATATATATATATATATATATATATATATATATATATATATATATATATATATATATATATATATATATATATATGAAAGATCCCACTGACCTCTCCAACAAGGAATCATTCTAATACTAATCACATTTAATGTGATCTTCAAAATACCTTATATCTGGGTAACAGGAGTTAACTGTAGTACAAATTATGAGACAAACAATGAAAGAGAGGGAGGGATAAGTTTACAACCTTTCGTATGAGTGCATTACTTCAAACTATCATACTTCTAAGCAGTTAGAACATCAATGAAATGAAGAAAAAGGAACTGTATATCAATGAGAACGTTTAGTACTTGTGTAGCACCTTATCCTTTACTCTTCATTGCTACGTATTATTGTCTGAAAGGGTTATGTTCACATGCGATCTCCATTTTTTAAATTATATCACTAGTTGAAGCACTTACTAATGGGATAATCTTACCTTTCTTTTTAAATAGGATACAAGATATATTGATACTAATTTCATAAAGTTATTTCAGCTAGCCCAACTTTTAATTGAATACTTATTGGTAAGTACATCGCATGTTTTATTGTATGTTTCTAAGTTAAATATATCTGTCTTAATACTAAAAGACTAGATTGTTCTCATATTCAGACACATACCTGGTATCCCAAGCCTTAACAGAAAAAGCTATTTTGCTATTACTTTTTCACCTAGGATGACAGCAATATAGTAATGGTTGATATGAACAGTTGGGAATTACTCATGTCGACTGATAGAGCCTGGAAGCAAGGCCGAAGTGATTTAAACTCTAGAAGGTGGTCTACCTTGTTTGGGCTACGCCTATCAACGGTACACGCTGTCAGACTCAGCTTAGTGCACCGACAAACAGATTGACTAGCACCCAATAAATTTAGACTAAGGTAGTTTCCAGCTATTCGTACTAGTCAGTAATGTATACCGGCGTATTGTATTAGTTGTTTTATTGATTGCTTTTTACTTCTTTCTTTTTTTCATTCACGTTCCCCAGTGGAACATAGGTCCTCAATCTAGTGGCTTGATGTTTCGGTAGCGGTGGTGTTTATTTTTATGGGGTGGGGTTGCTAGCCTCATGCCCAATCTTTCCTCTTTACCAGCATTATTTCTGGCTTAGCGAGGTGTGGGAGTGCGTCGGCCGGGGATCGAACCCCGGACCATGTGCATGGTCGGCGAGAGTCCTAACCGCTGTACCACCGACGCACACTTGCTTTTTACTAGTATGAAAGAAATCACATATTACAAATAGGAATATGTTTGGTTTCCAGAGGAAACCTTGATGAATTTTCACCTCGAACTGTGTAGTTTTAGAACTGATTATTACACTTCACTGTACTTTAGTACGCTTTATTGTTATCGAATACCGTAGTTCATTGAACACATCACATTGTAACTGTAGAAGACAAAAGACTTGGTAACGGCATGTTTATAAGGAAGTTGATTTACGCCTATAGGGAAATTATTTACATCTTGTATGAAAATCATCATATGGCACAGATCTTCTGTGTTGTACTACTTCTGCCCCTCATATTGTGGTTCCTTGTCTTTTTTTGTGTCTCCCATGTTTTGCTGTGGTGTTGGTTCATCTCTTCTCTCCGCTGTTTGATATTTTTGTATTGATAACGTCTCTTGATATACTCCTGTCAGTGGCACACGTCATAATATGACTTGGTGAACAGCTTTACAAAGACAATATAAAGTAGTGATTAACACTAAGCACTGCATAATTAATTGATATAAATCGCCACAATTGTGGTTCACACCTCCTACCTTAAGTTTAGCACTAAACAAATTTTTACCAATAATGATCACACTACTGACCTATCCTATTAATTAGTACGTATTATTTAGAAAACTGATTTAGCTTTATATGTCCAAAAAAATAAGCTCATTAAATTAAATTAAATCTCAAAGAACGTTGAAGTTCGTAACTAAGTTTGTCTTCGTTTTTTAAAAAAAGCCATTCGCTTTATTGTCTTCTGTCTTTACTACAAATCATTTAGTATTTTTATTTTCTTACCCAATATAGTACTCTCAGGATTATTTGACAACCTCACTCGATTCCCTAAAAGAACAAAATCAAGAACTTAACAAGGTAACGATTGCAAAATTCATGACAGCGTAGCTTGTGTAAACTTTTACTCTAGGCTAATTTTTTTTGTGTGTCATACTGCATTTTGTTTCTGGCAGACAATTTTTACTACATCAGTAGCTTTACAGACAATACAAGTCAAGTTTGAATTTGAATTTATTTCCAAGTGAATGCAAGTCAAAAAAATACTACCTAGCCCATCTTTTTCAACAGGAAGTTACATTATTTTAATGAAGTGAAGTGGAGTAATCCATAAAACTCCAACAAAAGGAACGACTGCAACGATATCAGCGTAGTATATTGTGAAATATTATCTATTGTTTCAGCGAAATCTCGCAAGAGATAACGCTTATGGCCATCACTTCTCAAAGTGATTTGCGAAATCATTCACAATCAGTAAAACGAAATATTAGTATAAATTGAAAAATAAAGGAGTTTTATAATATATGGTGAATATATGTTCATTATAATAATAATAATAATAATCACTTTATTCCACAGCTTCCATAGCTTCTATCTGTTAACAAAATGAGGCTGGAGTTCGGATTATTGCATAGAGAAGACACGGTACTATCGTAACAAGAATGATTTCATACTATACAAGCTTAAAATTGTGTGTCTCGGTGTATAATGATAATTGAATAATTGAGTATCTTGATGAGACATTGATACAGATAGGGGTCGATTGTTGGATTCATTTAATCGATTTAATAAAGATGTGTCTTTTCTGACTAAAAGGATGGTAGTGAAAAAAAGGTCTAATTCAATGCCATAACAGAATTTTAAACCTGTCAGTGATCTACTCCGGTCAACCAGAAGATAAACACACGCACACCGAGGGCGTGGCTATCATGATGTCACCAACGGCAACAAAGGCCCTGATGCAATGGAAGGCGATCTCGTCCAGGATAATGACCGCCAGATTCAACTCCAAAGAAAGGAAAGTGTCAATAATACAATGTTATGCACCCACAAACAACGCAGACCCCGAAAAGAAAGAAGAATTCTACAGACAACTACAGGCAACAATGGACAATACTCCAGCTGGCGACATGAAAATACTAATGGGAGACATGAACGCCAAACTGGGACCAGACAACACAGGAAGGGAACTCATCATGGGTAGAGAAGCTCTAGGAGAAATGAATGAAAACGGAGAACTCTTCGCCGACTTCTGCGCCTTCAACGAACTGGTGATTGGTGGCAGTGTATACAAGCACAAAGATATCCACAAGGCTACATGGGTGTCACCAGACGGGCAAACCAAAAACCAAATCGACTTCATCTCAATCTCAAGGAAGTGGAGGCGCAGCCTACTGGACACAAAAGCAAGAAGAGGAGCAGACGTTGGCTCAGACCACTATCTCGTACAAGGGACAATCCAAATCAAATTAAAAGCTTTCAGAGAATCAGGAGCTGCAGATAGACCACAAGCCAAGTTCAACACTCAAAAGCTGAAGGACCAGGCTACAAAGGACATCTTCATTGCAAGCATAAAGGACAAAGCCGAGACACAAATCAACACCAGCGAAAAGGTCGGCGTCGAAAAGCACTGGAACAACTTGAAAACGGTGTGGAGCCAAACCTGCATAGAAATTCTAGGCAGAAAAAAGAGACAGGACAAACAGTGGCTCACTACGGACACTTGGAAACTAATAGAAGAGAGAAGGACAGTGAAGCAAAAGATTATCCAGTGCACTGACGAGCAACAAAAACAGGAGCTGAATGCAAGCTACAATACACTGAACAAAAGAGTGAAGAAGAGTGCCAGGGAAGACAAAAGAAAATATTATGAAACCATGGCAAACGAAGCAGAACAAGCTGCAGGCAAAGGAGACCTCGCCACACTCTACCAAACAACTAGGAACCTTTCGGGCAAACGTTCGACACAGATTAAGCCAATAAAGGACGACAATGGAAAGTCAATCACCAAAGAGGTGGAACAGAGAAAGCACTGGGTTGAACACTTCAAAAGACTTCTAAATCGTCCGCCACCTACAACACGCCCAACAATACCAACAACGGAAGCAGAACTACCAGTGAACACTGACCCCCCGACGAAATCAGAAGTCCTGAATGCAATCAAGATGCTAAAAGCTGGGAAAACACCGGGACCAGATGGAATCCCAGCAGAAGCTTTGAAAATAGACCCAGAGACAACAGCGGACTTGATGACACCACTACTGGAGAAGGTGTGGAAAGAGGGCAAAGTACCCGAGGATTGGAAGAACGGATACTTATTCAAACTTCCAAAGAAAGGAGACTTAAGTCAATGTAAAAACTGGCGTGGAATTATGCTTCTGTCCATTCCAAGCAAGATACTAAGTCGCATCATCCTGGAGAGAATCAAACAAGCCACCTAGATGAAAAACTTCGTCCGGAACAGGCTGGATTCAGGAGAAACAAATCATGTATTGATCAAATCGCCACTCTACGGATCATCATTGAACAAAGCTTGGAATGGCAGTCACCTCTCTATCTCAACTTCATCGACTTTGAAAAGGCCTTCGACAGCGTCGATCGAGAGGTCATTTGGAAACTACTTCGCTACTACGGGGTCCCATCGACAATTATACATCTCATCCAACAGTTATACGACAATGCTGCATGCCAAGTAATCCACAACGGGAAACTTACGGAAGCCTTCGAAGTGAGGACGGGAGTGAGGCAAGGCTGTCTACTATCACCAATGATCTTCCTGATTGCAATTGATTGGATAATGCGACAGACAACGGGAACCAACGAGGGAACAGGCATAAAATGGACTGACACAAAAGACTTGGAGGATCTGGATTTCGCCGATGATATATGTCTGATTTCCCATAAACTGGAAGATATGCAAGTGAAAAGTAACAAGTTGGCAGAAGAAGCATCAAAGATAGGACTTCACGTGAACATAGATAAAACAGAGGTGATGAAGATTCCTGGCCAACAGACAACAACAGCCAGCATAAATGGGAAGAACCTGAAAGAAACAACCTCCTTCACCTACCTGGGAAGCATCGTCTCAACTACAGGCGGAACTGACGAGGACATCAAAGCCAGAATCGGAAAAGCAAGACAAGCTTTCATTACTCTCAAATCTGTGTGGAGGTCAACAGCACTCAGCATCAAAAATAAGATCCGGATTTTCAACTCCAATGTGAAGTCAGTGCTACTATACGGATCAGAGACTTGGCGAGTCATAAAGAGCATCTCAAACAAACTTCAAACCTTCATCAACAGTTGTCTCCGCTCAATACTCAAGATCAGATGGCCGCCAGAAAAGATCAGCAACAGGGATCTCTGGGAGCGAACCAATCAGGAACCGATTGTGAAACAAATAGGCAGAAAGAAATGGAGATGGATTGGCCATACGCTGAGGAAACCATCAAGTGACATCACTAGACAAGCCATTCTCGAGTGGAACCCGAAAGGGAGGCGGCGAGTTGGTCGTCCAAGGGTGACTTGGAGGAGGTCATGCGAGGAGGAGATGAAAGCATGTGGACAGACCTGGAGCAGGGTGAAAAAGTTGTCAGAAAACCGAAGTCAATGGAGGTGCGCAGCTGAAGCCCTATGTCCCTCTAGGAAGTAAAGGATAAAATAATAATAATAAACCTGGTAGCTGGTTATGATGACATAATAATAATAATATGAAAGGCTTTTGCTTGAAATATCTATGCTAATGAACTGTTTGGAAGCATTCAGAAAATGTTCATTATTATTATGGTGATCACAGGTGCCGGATTTGATTCAGTCAGCTGAAATGTGCACAATGTCCTCTTAATGGATTATTCATAAGTAGAACTCTTGGTAATCAGTACCCTAATGCCTAGAGAGGATCGAAGTGGAGGCTTAACTGCAAGGTTTATTGATGTACCATTCACGTATTGCACTGATGTTTAAATGTTTCTGATTTAGAATATTTGTCATTTTGTGGCAGATTCCAACCAGTAAATAATATTGCCAGTAGGTGCCCATTCTCATTTATAACTTCACTTATCGCAAATAACAACCAAATGGATATTTAATACTTAACACATTTTAGAAGTTTATAACTGCCGCCACCATATGACGGAATTTAGTCTAAATTGAATCAGTTATTTATACACCATAGGAATGAAAAACACTATTTGAATTGATCTTTGGATAGAACAGACTTTAGTATTCAGTGCAACATATAGGGATAAATTATTACTTGCTGACGACTTTGTATAGACTAGAGATAGCTCAGCATGTAAGCATACTCTGCAACAGTGTATAAAATGTATAAAGTTATATTTGTAAAATCTCAGCGAAATTAAAAATGATTAATTCCAACGTTTCGTTCGGCAATCTGGTCCGAAATTCTTCAGGGAAATTAATCGAAATTAACATAACAAGGGTTTATATATAAAGGGACACCTCTTGTTTTTTAAAATTTTGTCCAATCATGAGTCATGCAACAGGTGTCAATATGTATAATAAATAAATAAATAGAATATAAATAAATCGGATAGATACCTAGATTACCATTCAGCTCACCCATTTACCACCAAAGTAACTGTGGCCAAGAATCTGATCAACAGAGCCAAACGCCTAGTTACTGAGGAGGAAGATATTAACAAGGAACTAAAATTAGTTCAATCCTCTCTTGAGTCAAATAATTATCCTAAAGCCTTCATAAAAAGATACTTAAAATGTGAAGATAAGGATGAATCAAAACCTGCTGCTAAGAATTGGGTTAGTACAGCGGTGGTTCCTTACCGCAAAGAAACATCCGATGAAATAAAGGAAATTCTTAACGAACATGACATAAAAGTGTACTTTCGTGCATCTAACACCTTACGCTCATTACTGGTGAAGGTTAAGGATAAAATAGAACAAGAAAACCAGCAGAATTGCATATACCAGATCAATTGTGGGGATTGTAACGCAGTATATGTAGGAGAAACTTCTAGACAGGTAAATATAAGAATGAAAGAGCATAAACAATGTCTAAAAGTGGTTCCAAAGAGCTCTGCAGACTCGAAGAAGCTAGAAAA